ATAAGTCTGGCTGCTAACCTCAAGGTCAGCAGTTCAAAACTACCAGCTGTTCTGAAGGAGAAAGATGAGGCTTTCTGCTCATGTAAAGATTTATAGCCTCAGAAACCCTCTGCAGATTCACTGTGAGTCGGAACCTACTCCCTGGTACTTAACAACAACATCAAACTGTAGGACAAACTGACAGAGGTGTGGTGGGAAATTATATGTAACTGAATGAAACTGCCCTGACCTACACCATCTTCATGATTGTGGGCGTGTTTGAGCTCATTGTGCGACTGTTATAGCGGTCCCTCTCTTTGAAGGGCTTTGCTGTTTCCTACTGGTCCTCTAGGTAACATGATGTCCTTTCCTAGCAGCTGATCTTTGTTGATGATGTGTTCACTGAAAGCAAGATGAACTCTCGCCACCCTCACTGTTTGTTTTTCTAATGAGGATTACACAAAATGTATTTACATTGGTAGTATAACATTTTTATAATTGTTAGGAGTATGTTTACAACTTACCTTGAATAAGTTGTTATGTGCCCTGGAGTCGGTTCCGACTCATAGCGGCCCTGTACAGGGTTTCCGAGGCTGTAAATGTTTACGGGAGCGGAAAGCCTCATCTTTTACCTGAAGAATAGCTGGTAGTTTTGAACTGCTGGCCTTGTGGTTCACAGCTCGATTCGTAACCACTATGCTACATATTTGAATACCTTTTTTGTGAATAAATGGTGTTAAAATACTTAAATACATTAAGTGAAATTAAATGAAACAACTGTAGAACAGCAGGATCTGTGAGCACATTGACAGTGTATGGACCACTAATTAGTATCAACCACTAAAATAACTCAACTTCCCTGCTCCCATTCTATGGATGAGAAAACCAAGGTTTACAAAGGCAAAACGCTAAATTTAAATCTATAGATACCATTATTTAGTGCTTTTTGCTGTCCATATACTTTGCTCTTTTGAGGGGGATAAACTGTTATCTTGCATGGAATTTTGCTTTTAAAATTATTTATGTTGTTGTCAAGTGCCGTCAAGTCGGTTTTGACTCATAACGACCCTGTATAGTGTTTCCGAGGAGCAACTGGTGGGTTTGAACTTCTTTTGGCCCGTCATCCAGCACTCATCCCATAGTGCCACCTCAGAAATATGATTTATACATATTGTTGTTGTCATGTGCCGTGGAGTCGTTGTGGACTCATAGTGATCCTGCATAAGTGAGTTTAAATTGCTGACCTTGTGGTTCATTAGCCTGCAGTGTGCCACACTAGAACTCCGAATTATATATAGTAGGCAGAAACTCCCACTCTACCATGGGAGAATGAGCAAGTATCTCAATAGCTAGATAATACATTTATTTTGAAATTAAAAATATGTAACTTTATCAGTACAAAGAACTTCTGTTTTCTCTCTTTCACAGCTTTCTAATTTTGAACACAAAAGCCCCAGTTTAATGTCACTGCATCACTATTAATTTAATTATGATTTTCCAGCAGTGGTGGCTTTGTAGGATAAGCACTGGACTGCCTGCCAACCACAGGTTGGCAGCCCAAATGTATCAGTAAGCCCATGAAAGAAAGAAGAGGTTTTCTGTTTCTTTAAAGCTCTGGGAACCCTATATAGTCTGAACCAACTCAACGACATCTAACGACAACAATGGAAAGACAGAGCAAGGTTACAGAGACGCTTCTCCCTACTTTGGTCAGGCCATTATTGCTAATTCTCTCTTGATTTCAGAAGCAGTACTTTGATCCCAGGTATACAAATGAGTTCAGTGAATCTCCAAGCAGCTCGGAAGTAGCTGAGCCCCAGAGTAGTATATCTCCTAAAGCATTTTGGCCTTAAACCTTTCCTAGTGGTTAAGCCTTATTATTTTTATTTTTTTAAGTTTTTATTGTGAACTGAGTGATAGTTTACACGGAAGAACATCGGCTTTACACCATCATTTCATTGCAATGATTACAATCTCCTCCTTTCATCATTCAACAGTATTTGCTTCTCTTCCCTCTGTTTTTTTTTAGGGGGCGGGGCGGGGCGGGGTGGGGATGTACACAAAAACGCTCAGGAATATATCATAATTTAAACAACCAAAGAGCATATTCTGTAAGCCTGCCTCCTGGCCTCCAGCTCTCAGTCCCTCTGTTTCCATGAGTCTAGAGTCCTCAGCGGTTCCCTCTCTCCACGTCCCCATCTCTGCCTCCATCTCTGGTGTCTCTGTTTCTCTGGATAAGGTCCCACATTCCATTTGTACTCTTAGTTTTAACTTTTAGGTGGTCTTTTTCTTAAGTCTTTTATTTTGCTTGAACTGACCTGCTTGTTCTCTTAGTAACCATTGAAGAAGAAGAAAGAACAGTTTTTTACTCTTGATTTCTCTAAAATTATTTCTTTTAAAAATGAAATCACTGGGACAAAGGGTATTTGCCAAGCCAAACCCATTGTTGCTGAATGGATTCTGACATAGAATAACAGGAAGGATAGAGTAGAACTGCTCCATAGGGTTTCCAAGCTGTATCTACTGAAGCAGACTGCCACATCTTTCTCCCAGGGAGCAACTGGTGGGTTTGAATTGCTGATCTTTCAGTTTGTTAGGAGTGAAGAGAAGCGAAAGACTGCATTGCTAGTTGTGGGGGGTGATTACTGTTGTGTAGATTCTTAGAGTTATGGGAGTACTTTAACTGCTGCATCACCAGGGTCCTGCCACAAAAAGTGTACACATTTCAAGTTCTGATAATTTTGATCATCGAGCCATGGTGTGACAAGCTTGGTAGTTTAAACCCTGGCAGATCTTGGAAACCTATGTAGGGTTGATATGATGGCACTCAATAACAACACCACCAATTTGATAAGTATTGTGCTCTAGGAAAGTATTCCAAGTTTTACAGTAGTATAGTGTGCAAGTATCCATTTCCCCATTTTGTTGTTGTTGTTAAATGCTGTTGAGTAGGTTCCGACCCATAGCGACCCTATATAGGGTTTCCAAGGAGCAGCTGGTGAGCTTGAACCACTGACCTTACAGTTCAAATGACTCTTCAGATCTGACGCATTAGCTCACAGCGCCACACAGGACTCCGTTTCCCCATATCCTTGACAAATCTGAGCATTACCAATCTTTTAAAACTTAAGGGAAATAGTCATATTTTTACTTATCTGTTTATCATTTGTAAAGTTGAGCATCTTTTATTATGCTGTTGATCATTTCTTCTGTAACTTAACTATTAGTAGCTTTTATTTTTCTACTAGACTATGCTCTGTTGATTTATGATGTTGTTGCTGTATGCCATCAAGTTGGTTCTGACTAATAGTGACTCTGTAGAGCCTTCCTGAGACGAAATCTTTGTGTTGTAGATGTTTTCAAGTTTGTGACCTGTGTTGTTTTCAATGATATCATTTGTTTTTTGTTTTGTAGTCAAATCTATCTTTCTTTATGGTTTCTAGCCCTGACGTTATGATTAGAAGTCTTGCTCCTTCCCAAGATTGCAAAAATAAATTTAAGATATGCTTATTTTTACACTCATAATTATCAGCAGTACTCAACAACTGCCCTGTGTAGGTAAGGGAAGCGTCTATATCCAATATTGAGAGTCTGCTTAGCTGCTAGGCTTGTGTCCTAAATATTATGAAGTCTTAGAAGAACTGGAGTACTGGACAGGGAATGATCAATGAAGGCCATCCTAGTGACTGTCTGCCTTTTAGGTATTTATACGCATGAAGATTGTTCATCCTGAAAATAGTTCTAAAAAGAGAGGAAACTGACTTCCAGTCTGATGAAAATTATTTTCCAAAAGTTTCGGTGTTTAGTATATATTGAGTTAGATCCGGGTGCTGTGATTTTTTAAAACTCTTGTTGTCATCTACATATAGGGCATGGTTGTGTGGGACACTGGAGTGAAGAAGGAAGGGAAATACAAAGGGAAAGAAAGCATGGAAAGGTGACGGGGAGTAGAAAGGATCAATTAGGACGGAAGGGATGAAACGTGCTGGGATTGCCCTTGTGTTGCCAGCAGTGTTGGTCCTGGAATTAGGTTTTGCTTATTTGCTTTTTGCAATTTTAGACAATTTTGTTTCTAAAATAGGTTGGGGACCATCACTTGCCTAAACCTGATCATTAAGCTACTGTTTTGGTATTTCCATGGCCTGTTCTCGCTGTGTGTGTGTGTGTTCATACAACACAGTTGTTTTTTATTTTTGACTAGATAGTGAGAATGATGTAGGTGATACTTGAAAATTTAGCCACTTTACAAAGTACTTTTACTGGGATTTTCCTTAGTACAACAATGAGAGATAGATTGGAGCAGGTCAAAAGGAATGAAAACTTAGAATTGTATCCATAAAGGTTAGTAAGTTTGTTCTTGAGCCCAGTTGTCTGGAATTCAGATCCTCATTTCTTCTCATTATTCTGATCTTAGTATCTTTCTTGGATCTTGGTGTGGTGCTGTAGGATAAGCATTGGACCACAAGGTCAGTTTGAACCTCCAGGTTGGCTGTTCAAACTCACCAGCTGCTCCTCGGAAATCCTGTACAGGGTCACTATGATTCAGAACTTACTGAATGACACTTTATGAACATCATCATTCCTGTGAGCAGGGTTACTTGTAAGGAAGATGTTTCAGTATTAGGAAGGCGTAACAGTTCAAAGATGAGGGCAAGACAAGCCTCCTACTGAGGCAAAATTGTCATAGATGCCTGATTCTAATAAGATATAGAGAATTTGACTACTTTAAGCGTAACTGAAGGTCAGCAGTTCGAAACTACCAGCTGGGAGAAAGATGAGGCTTTCTGCTCCCGTAAAGATTTACAGCCTTGGAAACCCTATGTAGGGTCGCTGTGAGTCAGAACTGACTCCATGGCACATAACAACAACAACCAATGAGAAAACAGGTCCAGATAAATCACCTGCCCAAGATTACATAAGGTAGAAAGCACTAGAGCAGAGATTTAAGACTCTTCTAACTTTCTTCCTTTCCCTATATACCAGTTTCTTCAACACTAAGTTCTAATAGAAGGATAAGGCGAATGTGTATGCGAAAGATAAGAAAAGTGAGTGTAGACCATGGTATAAATGTTTCAGTTTGAATAACTTGAATTCTACAGTTAAATAGAGACAGTATAATTAAAGAGAATATTGTAATGAGGAAAATATTTTTTTACCTTGAGAATTTAGAAAAATTACATACAGAGAAATAACTTCAAAGTTGTTAGTAAGGTCTTCGAGCAAAATCAAGTAGTTGAGAATTTCTCTCATTGGCAAGGATTATTTTCTTCAACTCTGTCTTCTCCCTTGATTCTCACCTGGCTGGAACAACACGGTGTGTGTGTAGGTGGATGGATGATCCATAAATACTTGGTATTTTGCTTCTTTCATTTACAAAAGTTTCACTTACTTCTGTCCTGTTTTTAGTCAAGTTCTGAGAATTAATGTTTATTCTTTATTAAGGCAAACTATTTTAAACTGCCATAATTTTGTCAGTTACGTTTTATAAATATGAAAAGAATACTACTTTTTAAAAAATGCAGGGTAATGGAAGGAGCTTGTGCATATGTGTGTGCGCGTGCTCCACATGTGTTCCTCTTTCCAGTTGAAACTAGAATTTTGTGTAATGTTTGCTTCTAAATTTTCTTTCTTTCTTTTAAAGGATATTCGGAAATTCTTTGGGGTTATACCAAGTGGAAAGAAACTTGTAAATGAAACAGTAAAGAAGAATGAGAAAACAAAATCTACTGAAGAAACTTTAAAGGCAAAGAAAGGAATAAAGGAAATCAAGGTCAGTTTTCCAAATACAATTTTGAATTGTTTGAAAGGTTGAATAAATTAAGTTCCTATAGTTGTTATGTTGGGACCCTCAAGTAAATACAGGTTTCAGCTCGCTTAGCAGAGGGGGGCAAATAAACAAGTTACTACGATTTCTAATGAATACAGTTTACTACTCTCGTAAGTTGTCAGTTTTCTTTGTAGAGGTGGGCCCCCCCCGACCCCTCCCTTTTTTAAAAAAAAACCATGTAGGGATATTTAATCGCATAAACAACTACAGGCATATTCTGGAAGCCAGATCCTGGCCACCAGCATACAATCTTTCTTTTTCCATGAGTCTAGAGTTGTCAGCAGTTCACTCTCTCCATGCCGTCACGTCTGCCTCCATCTCTAGTGTCACTGCTTTTCTGGTGGTGGTTATTTAGTACCGCGGAGTCGGTTCCGACTCACTGTGACCCTGCACAGGGTTTCTGAGGCTTCTCTAGTTAGGGTCCCACATTCCGCTCATGCTCTTCTCTCTTAGTGGTCCTAGGGCCCTCTGTTCCTGGAATGCAAGATTAACTACTCCACCCTTTTTGTTTTGGATTTTTGCTGCTGATCTTTCTTTCAAGAAGTATCTTCTGTTCCTCTAGTTACTCCGGGCTGGTCTGTATGTCCTCTCAAGTTGGAATGACCCACCTCAGAAGGTGGAACCCCCTTTTGATTGTTTAGGACTTTGTGTTTTAAGACCAACGCTTACTAATAAAGGCATGAACTCTAGCCTCAGGTAAATGGTGTTGGATTTCTGGCAAGGGCTGGCTTTGAAAGACAGCTTTAGTCTTTTCCCTGTCCTCTTTGGGTCTCTGAGAAATTAAGAAGGAAGTCACTATGGAAAGCCAGCAGTGGCTATCTCGTGGGTTTGAGTTAATATTATTCCACTTCATGTAAAATGTAAAAACATTGAAACACTTCAGGTCTGTATACTATCACCCCATCCTTTATGTTCCACTTGTCATATTGATTGAATCTACATATGTTAATAATACTCCATACTTCAGTTTGATAGTTTTGTTTTAGACAGACATCTGTGTTTTAAAAAGATTAAAAGGAAAATCATGTTTACCTACATATGTGCCCTTTCTGTTGCTCTTTATCTCTTCCTGAAGACCTAATAACATTTTTCATCTAATAACATTTTCTTTCAGCATGAAGAAGTTTCTTTAGTATACTGTACAGTGTAGATCTATTGGTGATTAATTTTGTTAAATCTAAAAAAATGTCTTTGTCTTTTTTTTAAATTGTACCTATC